TTAACACTGCCTCTGTAACAGGAGTACTTGGTATCTGTTCTGTCAGGTGGTCCATCTGCTAAGCATTTAGGGAGACACAGAGAAGTTGTTCTCGACATTTATTTAGCTTTAGTGGTTTGCTCAAGCTTGGGTCAAAAAAGCATCTATTTCTGTGTATGATTGTTGCTCTAATAAGATACTACCACTGACTTTACCAATCTCTGTAGAGTACCATGGCTATTCTATCTCTGTAAGTACAATATAACTCCAACTGGAAAAAGATCCTAAGTTTGGTTGACTTCAGTTTTGTTCATTGATACAACTTTGTGTGTTTGTCGTATGTAGGTTTGAGGGGTTTTTTCCATTTTTAAACTCTGTTTCCATGTAAACAGGAAGCAATTTTATTCTGAAACTCTAATTTTTTTTTTTTCCCATAACCTTCAGAAGACTTCCGAGCCCCTTGCAGATTTCCTTTCTCTTCAGAAAAGAGCAGTTTTCATATTAGTTATTACTTTATTAGAAAAGGTGTGAGTTCTGAACTTTGTGAGCATGTTTGAATAAGGCAATTCTTAAAAAACTAAGCTCAAGGTAGCACTTTTCAGCTTTAACCTTCATATTTTTGTAACCCTAAATAAGGAATACACAAGAGGACAACTGCTGTTAGAAACCTGTTCTGTATTTTTTCCCATAGTAGGAAAAATGGTTGTGAATGGATACCCCACTGCAAGTCTACCTGTATTACTCAGCCTACCTCCATGCTAAATGCAGAGCCAGTTGATGGGATTTTGTGGTGGTTTTGGGGGAGAGGCCAAGTGAAAGTCTCAGGTTCTGCATTTTCTACTTTTGCAGCAGATCTGTCACTTGATGATGTTTCTACAGTGGTAAAATGTAACTGCCTACTCAAAAATGCGTGTATGGATACATTTTAGAAGAACAGGATTTAGTGCCACGTTGCCATTCTGTTGCTTTTTGTGTTCTTTGAGCTTGGTAGACAGTGATGATGCTGCCAGTGTATCTTTATCTACTATATGGTTGTAACTGTCAAGCAGAATTTAAATGGTTTGTTACAGTACTTTCTTCTGTTGTATGTTAATAGCACTTCACCTCTTGATTTGAAACAAGGTTTCCTCACCCACATTTTCCTGGAAATAGAGAGGTGAAATAACTTTTTTTTTTTTCTCTCTCCACTTCCCCCCCCCCCCCCCCCCCCCCCCCCCCCCCCCCCCCCCCCCCCCCCCCCCCCCCCCCCCCCCCCCCCCCCCCCCCCCCCCCCCCCCCCCCCCCCCCCCCCCCCCCCCCCCCCCCCCCCCCCCCCCCCCCCACCCCCCCCCCCCCCCCCCCCCCCCCCCCCCCCCCCCCCCCCCCCCCCCCCCCCCCCCCCCAGTTATCCTGAGAAGTTTATTGACACCAATTGTATGTGTTCAGTTCATCAAAAATAAACCTTTTTTTGCTTATGCATCATCTGGTGTTTGAAATGATTGCATGGGAGTTATGGTTCTGAAATCAGTTGGAGCTGCCACCCTGCAATTAATTAAAGTAATTATGAATTTTTGCAGGCTGTCTTAAAAAAGGCTGCTTTGTGCTAGAGCAACTTTTCATTCGTTAACATATCTGTGGCATTCTGGCTGCCTTTGCAAGGCAGAGCTTTTGATGAATTACTGGCAGTACTGTTTGAATTGCAGACACCTGCCTGAGAAGGTGGAGTACAGCATGTCACCTGTCTTCAGAACTACTTGTAATGAGCTGAAATTGGGGATAAGAGTGACTACATTGAGTAGGACTGACACTGCTAGAGAAAAATCTGGAATTTTGACACTGGCGAGGTCAGTTTTGTGAATTGAGGGATTGTCTGCCATTGCCTACCAGAATTTATAATTTAAGAGTGGTTTTAATGTAGAGGAGATGGGCAAACACGTCTCTAAATACCTGACCTGTGGTCTTCACTACCTTGGTTACAATCAGTCTTGGACAGTTCAGTTGATGAGCAGAGAAGGTTAAGATTATGTTCTGTTTATTAAGCATATCACACAGTTCTGCTTGTTTCCTTTAGTTGCTCAGTATGCCAGCTGTCGGAAGCATTTTCATGCATGCTGATTTTTCCTCCTGCCCTGATTTTGCTCTAGTCCTGCTATTTCTTGCCTCGGATACTACAGCAGAGTATGGTCTCTAGGCTTCCCTGTTTCAGCTTGACTTCTCATAGCAGTCTCACCTTGTCCACCTATTTGGTATGTTTCTCAGCTTCTCTTTACAGACCTTTGGCCCTACTCCTGACAATTTCTTGCATGGGTTGACTTGGTACAGCTTTAAATTTTCAGATTCCTGTCTATTTACTGAATGTGAAAATACATGGCGAGAGTAAAGGTGTGTGTAGTCTTGTGCTCTCTTTTCAAAAGTTGTTATGAAAAGAGTATATGAGAAAAGACAAGTACAGAGCTAGCTTTCCCTTGGTATACACTCTCAGCTTTTTACTGATAACTGAGAGTTTCAGTTTCACTTAAACTGTTGGACTTAACCAGTAAGGGTCTGGCAGTTTGTGTTTTAGGGGATCTTCAGTTGCTGTTTAATGTTAAAACAAAAACTGTCAGCTTTTTACTCTGATCCCTAAGGAAGTAAGATTTAATACAATCACCCTATCTATTGGGCTAAGATTTGATATGATGGGTTGAAATAGTGACGGCTTCACATATATTTGAAAGAAAGCTGATGATTTAAAAGATAGTAAGTTCTGCAAGCTGCATGAAAACAGCATCTGAACTACAAGAAATGAACTGAACTTTTCTCACAGCTTATTTTGTATCTTATAATTCAACAGGCAGGACAAATCCACAGGAAACCAAGCTTTCAGTTGTCTCTGTTCTTTTTCAGCATACCATAATAGTTCTTTGCATGTGAGTGTGTTGCTGTTTGTGGTGTTTTGCATTTGTAAGATAATTTGTTCTGTGTTATTTAGGAGCTTGAATAACATTTGCAGTAGCTTGCTTTTGGGAAGGTTGTAACAGTAAATCTCCCAGGTTAACACTGCTTGCTTGGCTGGGTTTCTACATTACATTTTCTGCATGTACATTTTTTTGTTTCCCGTTTTTTACATTAGTGGTTTGTGACTCAAAATGGGTAAGTTATAGTCTAATATATCTGTCATACTGTCCTAAGTAAAATCTGTCCACTTGCTTAATTTCACGTGTTACAAAGACGACCCTGATTGTAGCACATCCTCAGTCTCGGAGCTCTGGAATTATCTCGTTCACTCCTTGGCTTTAACCTCAATTTCATCATTTGGGCCTAATGTAAAAGAAACTTCAGGGTGAAAGCTGAGGATGTTTTGAGTCTTTCTTGTTTTCTTGGTAATGTTTTTGCTACAGAATAGTAATTTGCAGCAGTAGGGGAAACTCAGGACCCACATTACTAAGAAACAAGATGAACAGAGTTATGAAACCAAGTATGATTTCCTTTGTATTTTTATATTGGTGGTTCTCTTTTTTTGTTTGCTTGTTTGTTTTTTTTTTTTTTTTTTCTGTTGGTTTGTTTTGGTTTGTTTTTTTCTGGTTTGTTTTTTTTTTTTGTTTGTTTGTTTGTTTGTTTTTTGTGTCTGATTGTTTGTGGTTTGTTCTGGGGTTTTTGTATGTTGGGGTTTTTTTAACCTTCCCACAGCAATAACCCCAGCTGGCCCATGGTGATCTTTGCTCCCCTAGCAAGCATTGTTCTATGGATATTGTCTAAGAGCAGGCACGTAGGAAAAAGTGTAACAGTATGGTAACTCTTCTCTGATATACCGTCTGTTAAGATTCAGCAACTTGTGGGATGAAAGCAGTATTTCAGAGGCTAACTGATTGCTTGGGAACTTGCTGTAGGGTATGATGGATTAGTTTCACAGAACCATGGAAGGATTTTGGCGAGTTGTGAGCTAAACTGCCAGTGGGGTAACACCAGAACCAGCAGCTTTTGCTGAGTACAGGTCTGTAATTTCTTATGCTGTTTTTCTTCACACTTTAAGCACTGGCTGATCCATTAATGCAGCAAGTTTATCCTTAACAGAAGAAGATTACACAGCTATTGTCAATGTACTCATCTTGCACTGGTCAGAGAGATGAAAACTCTATATTTGTATTTTTGGCAAATAGAATAGCTAATGATTTAGTGACTCTTGAACCTTTGAATAAGATTACAAAATACAAAAATAATAAAAAGGTATTTGAAGACAACATGCTTAAAAGCATGAAGTAGTATATTTGAAGATGCTTCTCTTGTAGTGCTCTTTGACACTGCAAAAGAGCTGTATATACTACTTACTGTTTTGTAAGTGAGCCTTGGTGTTCTTCTGACAGACGTGCATGGAAAGGATGTTGTGGAATGATTCTTGCTCAGGCTCATTTTGTGTCTGGCTATGAATAAGAGGTTTCACACTGAGCCAGGAAGAGGATGCCTGAGATCTGATTCATGTAGTATGAGGAACAGGTAAACAGGTGACAGCTCAGAAAATAAGCATGCTTTTTCTTTTGATGATGCTGATTTCCCAGAAAAGATAACATAATCTGTGTATGGAATATCTTTGGTTACCTTCAGTGAAGCTGAGCTGTCATAGAAGACAGGAGCAGTAAAGACAGTGGCAGTTGGACCCACAGGGTGTCTTTTGGAAGCACTTGCATGGAGATTCCTGCTACTTTTCTGGGTTGGGGGTGGCTATGATTTTATGATGGGGGAGGGAAGAGGAAACGGCCAATTATCAGCCACAGCTGGTTTGTTGCAGAAAAGTATGCTTAATACATACGTAAATGATCTGTGATGTATATGTATTGGTCTATTAAAAATTGAACAAGTACAAAGTGTGAAAATTGTGAAAATGTTCAGCTGAGTGAAATAATTCAGCTGAGTATTTAAGTTTGCAGTGTAATATAGTAGTTAGGTATTTGTACCAAAGCTTTTGTTCAGAGGACTACTGGGAGTGGGAAGCAGGGAGGGAATCTTTTTCAAACAAAGGGGAAATAAAGGTTGGTTTGCCTGTTTCTGTTTTCCCTCTCCTTCAGCTCTAATCAAATACATCCGACCAGTATTTGTATCTCGGTCAGACCAGGATTCTCGCAGGAAAACTGTTGAAGAGATAAAGAGGCGTGCTCAATCTGGTAAATGGCCACAGGTACTGTATACTACTAATGTGTGACACATGGTATTTGGCATTTCCAAGCTTTGGATATGCAGTTCACATTTTTTTTCCTTGTGGGATGCTTTAGATGGTTTGTGGGGTGTGTGATTTCTGCCCCCCACCCCCCCGCTTTGTTTCTAGAAAACTAAATGTAAGATTCTTACCTGTACAAAACACTAGTTTTCCACTGCAGTATGTTTCAAGGGGAGACTGGGTAAGTATGTGGGAAGACAGCTCAATACTAATTGGGCAGACCAGAGCAGATTTAGGAAGTCCTGTAAGAAGAAACTAATCAGGTGCTCATTAGAATACCTGGGGGAGTATTGTGTGTCCTTGTCCTTCTCAAGATTTTGGCATACTGTCATTGTTGGAGATGCAATACTGGCCAACACAGTTCAGCCCAGGCAATTCAGACGCTCCAACAACCAAAATATACCTCTATGGGGCCACTTGATGAAAACGTTGCTAAAATAAGTGGCTCGGGGTTTCTTCTGCACCTGAAATGCGACTATTTATAATGTGCTTTAGAAGAAAGCAGTGGGAAGGAAGGCATGACTACCCAAGGCCTCCATTTTCTAGAAGCATATGGTTATTTTGAAAACTTGAAGTATTCTTCTTGTGAATTTTTGAGATTAAGATACAGTATGCCTTTCATGGCATTGTTACTACTACAGTGGTTATGTCCCTCATACTGGACTACAGAAACGTTAAAACAGTTGTAAACAACGTGACAGAAAGGTGATACATAGCTTTCACATCATGGCTTTCATCGATAGATTTCAAAGCATTTTACAAACTAAATATTCTTAGTTACAGATGAAGAAACTGAGTTGCAGAGCTGAAGTGATTTCCAGAATACCTAGCAAGCTAGTACCAGAGTGGGCAATAAACCTAGTAATGTTAATTCTAGTCTCTGTCCCCTTATGTATTTATTTCCTTTAAATGTCTTGTTCTGTAACTCAACAGAATTTCAGCAGTTCTTGGCTTTTTGCTGTCTGAAACTTTTTTTACAATCTAACCTCTTCCTCTGAATTCGGTTCAACTTGAGCACTTTTTGCCTTGTTAGAATTCTGTTTAGATATTTTCAGTCTTTATCGTTCTGACATCTGTGTACGTGCCAAGTAATAAATGCAGAAAAAAAAATAACAATCTTCCTTTTCTTAGCCTGTAAGCAGGTAGCTTGGGAGCAGGAATTTTGTTTTGGTGCAAAACAGAATATGTTTTTACCAGCACCAAAGCCTTTTGGGAAAATTCTCTTGAATGCACAAGTTTTTGGCTGCTGTCGATGTTCCAATCAAATAAAATTATTATCAGAGGTCAAGAAAGAGGCAAATTCACAGATAAAGAAAAATATTATTGAGACAGAACTTTACTTGACTTCTTTATTGAGCACTATTTTTTTACTCTAACTGAACTGTTTTTCCCTGAAAACATTTTTACTGTAATCAGTTAATGTTAGGTTTGAAAAGATGTGTTTATAAATAAATCCACATTGAAACAGTTCTTAAAAGTCAACTTTTTTTTTACTTCAAGATAATGATATTCCCAGAAGGCACTTGCACAAACCGATCCTGTCTAATTACATTCAAGCCTGGTAGGTATGATGCTCATTTCTCTGTTCTCTACAGAATGTTCTTGTATCTTCGTTTTCTGAAATACCACTTGCATTGTAATTTGCTTGCTGTTGCAGAAGTTGAGTTAAAAATCTTGCAGCAGGGTGGAATTGGAATAGAAATCTTTTGATGCTACAAAAGGATTGTAGTTCCACTGCTGAGCGAAATGTTTTAGATAATTCCGATTTTTTTCTTGGCTTCTCAGATACATATGAGCTGGAGGACCAATGTTTCTTAGTGGGTTTTTGTTTGTGGTTGTCTTTTTTTGCCCCCTCCATTTCCTATTTTGGGTCTGTCATGAAGCATTTAGATACACTATAAAACTTAAGGTATCAGCATGTATCTATTTCAGGCTGCTGCAGCATTTGTTGCTGTGCTGTATGCCATTGATTCTCTCCAGCTCTTCTGTTGAGTTGCGTTCTGGTGAAGATAGCGCAAGAATCTTGCCAGTATAGCACTGTTAAAATGCTGTAATTTTTTTACCATTTTTTAAAATTTATTTAACATCCACGTTCTAAGCTCTTTCTGGTTAATATCACTCTGTTAGCTTATCAAATCAGTCAAGGGTATAACACTGAACATTGCTGCAGTTGTAAACTGCAGTTAAAATAGGGAGAAATGCCAATGCTGCAGTGAACCACCAATGTTTAATGTAAACTTGCCTTTATGATGTAGGTAAGGAGATGGTGAGTGAGGAGGTTGCAGTGAACAAGTCAGTTGTGAATGTATGTTTTGACTCTTCCTAGGTTTCTGCCTAGCTCATTGTGTTCTGGTCTTACTGTGTGTCTTATATTTTGTGTTGCTTACAACTTAGAAATTGCTGTTAGAATAGAACACAATGACCAACGTTGTGATTCCTTGCACTGATTCATTTGGCTGATAGAATCTCAGTATTGTCTCCTGAACAAGCATTCAAAAAGCTTTTCCTCCCCTCTCAGCTCTACCTTTATAGACGGGTGGTGGTTAGGAGAACATCCACTTCTTTCACTCTTTACTCTCCATCTCCCTCTCTCTCCACCTGAATCCTGACCATGCTTTGAAAACCAGCCTGAATCCTTCATTAAAGCTGTGAATTCCTGCCCTCCCTCTGTGCCATAGACATTCCAGGCACCATACACTTTCTGCCTCAAATCCCCACTCTATCTTCCTCTCCTCTGGTCTGGTACATGCTGCTGTCTGCCTCTTGACTGTCTCACTTTTCCTACTGGAACCTGCTTCTGTATCCATCCAGCTTCCCAGAAATCCTTTGCCTCAAAATTCCTCACTTACATAAAATGACTTTAAGTCTTTATTCAGGTAACTGCTTTCAGGATGCCTTTTCCCAATCTACTCATGTGGCTTACACTCCTTGCTCTTGCTACACAGCTTTTTGGGTTTGTGTTCATGCAAGCTAGTCATACAGGGCATGCTAGTGCAGTTCTGTTTAAATAGTGGTCTTGTCATCTACTGCTCAGATTTTGTCATCTTCGGATTCTTTCAGAAGTTGCTTAGGCTGTTGTTTTTGGAGACTGAATAGAAAGTACCGCTGGGCCAAGAACCAAATCTCTGCAGGATCCCATTCAGACAACCTTCACTTAAAGATGTTTATGCTCCATTAACAATTACTACTTTAACATCTATGCAAGTATTTTGTAAAGCAAATGCAATTCTCAGAATACAGTATGCTTCGTTCAGTTCTTAATTTTAATCAAAATATTAGGCAGAACTTAGTAAATTGCTATAAAAAACGTAGCTTCAGTGAAGACTGTCTTTATTAATTGTTTTCATGAGAAAAAGATGTTTAGAGAAATCTTGAGCAAGGAAGTTGCTATGCTTAACCAATCTTTGTGCTAGAAACCAAGAAAATTATTAGCAAATGTAATTTATAGCTCTTGTGCTACTTACCAGAAGGATAATTTTCATATTAAATGAAGTGATACTTCTGTACAATAGCTCTAGTTCAATACTTTCTTAATTATTAGAATTTCCATTGCTACAGAATAAACAAATAAGGCCTTCTGATGGGAATTAAGGTGGGAGATAAAAAGTTAAATTCTGTTACTTCAGAGGTGATAAATTTCCTATAAATTGGTGTTGCTCAGCTAAAAATTGAAAGCTTCTTTTGCTTAAGAAAGCTTATGTTCTTCACCAAAAAATATTGTTGACCAGAGGGAATATATTGATTTAACTACCTTGCACATAGTCATTTTCTTTTAATTGTTTATCAAGCTGAATTTGGTACTGGGCTTTCACTTGTGTACGTGACAGTTAATCTAAGTAGTAGAGGATAATTTAGAGAATGCAAGCAAGCATTCTTAATTATTTATCTTCTGAAAAGGTGGGGATACACTGTCATTCTTCAGTGCTTGCTTTTTAGATTACTTTTGAGGCTACTTTTGGGTCTTATGCATAGGAATTAGTTGATGGTGGAAAAAATATCAGCCCAGTAATTGTATAATTTTTTCTTCACTACAGTAATTTTTTTCTGTACCAAAGTGCACTATAAAGTAATGATATGTCATATGTGCCTTCTAGGAGCATTTATTCCTGGAGTTCCTGTACAGCCAGTGGTTTTACGTTATCCAAACAAACTGGTAAGTTCAGCTTGCAGTAACTGGGGCATTTTCCTCTAAGTACATTGGCACTTCTGTAATCTTTTAGCTTAGATAATTAGGTTTAGAAATTTGGAAAGCATTAATAAATGCTTATTGGCGTTTATATATATATTCTTTAAGCCTCTAGCAATACAAATAGTCTTAATTGAGACAGTTTACATGTTTCTACTTTTATTAGTGTACTCCTTTAAAACAGTGCTCTTATTCAGCTTGTTACAAGTAGTACTGTACAAATGACAAGACAAATATCAATTTCTATGTAGGGTCTGTGTTCACATGTGCTCCCTGTTACTGCAATGTGTGCGGAGAGTTTTCTTAACATCATTTGCTGCTGGAAGATGCTTCTGCACCTCCTGCCTGTGGGGGTGTTAGTTACAAATTAATGCTACTAGCTAAATGGTAATAGAATAATGTGTTTGGGACCTTGGCACCTTTATAACATGTCTTGTGCATGTTTACATTCATTGTACACTTGTCTAAGGAATGCTAGACACAAGCTAATTTGAAGTATTCCTTCAATATAAATCAGATTTATGTAAATTAAATGTGCAAATTATAGTCTTTATTTACAATATCTAAATTATACAATTGTTACAAATGCTTGTAAAGACCATAGAACGGCTTGTGTTAGAAGGGACCTTACAGATCATTCTGTTCCACCCCCCTGCCCCGGGCAGGGCCCCTTCCCCCAGCCCAGGGGGCTCCCAGCCCCGTCCAACCTGGCCTTGAACCCTTCCAGGGAGGGGGCAGCCACAGCTGCTCTGGGCACCCTGGGCCAGCACCTCACCGCCCACACAGGGAAGAACTTCCTCCTTATATCTAATCTAAATCTACTCGCTTTCAGTCCCCTTGTCCTATCATCACACCCCCTGATAAAGAGTCCCTCCCCACCTTTCCTGTAGCCCCCTTTAAATACTGGAAGGCCCCTATAGGGTCTCCCTGGAGCCTTCTCTTCTCCAGGCTGAACAACCCCAACTCTCTTGCCCTGTCCTCACAGGGGAGGTGCTCCAGCCCCCTGAGCATCTTGGTGGCCCTTCTCTGGACTTGCTGCAACAGGTCCATGTCCTTCTTATGTTGAGGGCCCCAGAGCTGAACGCAGGACTTCAGGTAGGGTCTCACCAGAGCGGAGTAGAGGGGCAGAATCCCCTCCCTCGACCTGCTGGTCACACTTCTCTTGATGCAGCCCAGGATGCATTTGGTTTTCTGTCTGTTGGCTCACAGTCAGTTTTCCATCCACTCATACCCCCAAGTCCTTCTCTGCAGGGCTGCTCTCAATCCACTCATTGCCCAGCCTGTATTTGTGCTTGGGTTTGCCCCAACCCATGTGCAGGACCTTGCACTTGGCTTTGTTGAACTTGCGTTATTCACACAGGCCCACCTCTTAAGCCTGTCCGGGTCCCTCTGAATGGCATCTCTTCCTTCCAGCATGTCAGCTGTGCCACACAGCTTGGTGTTGGACAAACTTGCTGAGGGTGCACTCGATCCCACTGTCTGTGTTGAGAGCAAAGATGTTAAACAGACAAAGAAATGAAGACAAAGCTCATTTGATCTACTTCAGGCCTTCAAATCACAGAAGAGGGATTTAATATATATATATATATATATATATATATATTATTATTATTACTCATTTTACCTGATGTAGATACTTTCATGTCCTACTGCAGCCAGAATCCTGTCTGTCTACATTCCTCAGTCAATTAGAAGATGCTTCCTAGTGAACTTTGCTAACTTTTATACTTGAAGTTTCTTTTTGAGCACTTGAGGGGCTATTTTCAGGTTCAGTCTGTCCCCTTCTGAAATATAAGGGTTTTTTTATGGGAAGGTGGGAGGAGTGTCAGAAGTAAAATAAGGACTAACTTGCCTCTTTGCTGATGCATGTCACGTCAGAAGATTTCATGTCGTTTCTCTTTGACTAGCCCATTAACAACCCCTTGATCTAAGGATTTCATTTCCTCTTGGTACCTGAGCGCTTATGTTTTAAAATGTTGCCAATCATTGTTCTTTCTGTCAATTTACAGGTTGATATAAAACATATGCTTGATTAAAAATGAAAAAGACCTGAACAAAGTTAATATATGTAGACCACCATTTTCTCTTGGCTGAGACAAGGTGTGATGGCAGTCAAACAGTTTGCAGTAACAAATGCAAAAATTATCTTTGCAGATGCTGCAACAAGTATAGCAGCCTGTCATGCTCACATAGCATTAAGTACATTGTAGCAAATTGCCTGGGACTTTTAATTGCATATTTGTTTTGTTTTCAGGAAGAAAGATGCTTTTCTAAAATATTTTTAAACCTTCATTGCACTATCGGTTTAAATTGTAAATATGTACGTGCCTTATGTCATAATATACCTTGTTACTTTTGGTTAATATTAAACTTATTATAAATAATATAAAGCTATCAAATTTGCAAATATCATCAAAAATCCATTTGCCTACTGAAATTACCTTATTAACTGTAGTACATAATATGCAATGTTTGTGAACTAATATTAAATGTTCCTAATCCTCTATTAACAGAAATTGTGAGCTTTTTACATTGAAGTAAATAAATATAAATTTTAATGAAAATTTTCATAACTTTTTATGTTACTGCAAAATGTCAGAAACTGTAAATATTGATGTAGATATCAGAGTTGGCCTGAATCTGTGTATGGGAGTTTACTTTTTCCTACTACTTTTAGTTGCTGTAAAACAGTTTTCAGTGTCTGAGTCATTTAACCCCCTAAGGTCTAATTCCACTAAGCACTAATAAGGGGGCAGTGATTGCTACTACTGTTTGATTTTTAGATTGGCTTGTGGGCTGCAGAAGAGTTGCAGCAAATTTAGAATGAGGAGAGGAAGAAGAAAGATCATGTGTGATACATGAAGGTTGGATTTATTTTGGTTAGGGTGCAGCTAAGAGTTATGTATCAAGTAAGAACAACACAGTAGAACATTGTTTTTCATATGCTAAGACAGCATTTCTAGCAAACTTTCATTGTCTCTGGCTTCCTGCTTATTGTCTTGTTTGACCACTGCATATTAGGATTTTAGGTTTAGAAAGGAATTTAAGATCTTTGCTTAGCCAGTGAATTCCAGATACAGTCACCACACTGCTTTTAGCTTGGACTGCCTGCTCTGATCTACCTTCAGAGCTTTGAGTTCTTCTATATGGACGTGAACAGTCTTGGGCTTGAGTACAGCTGACTGTTTTGGGAGGTTTTTCAAGGTCAGAGCCTGGGGTGAATGTTGTAGGTGTGTGCACTCCTATGTGTTTTTCCTTGTACGCTATTCAAGTGCTAGGTAAAGTACTACTGTTCTGCAGTGGACTGAAATGTGGCAAAAGTGATGATGTAAATTCAGTTGTTTTCTAGCAAATAAATCTAGTTCTGGGTGCCATTAAGAACTCTTTCTAGTCAGGGTTGCCCCCTGAATACATTTGTTCTTTGAGCTCGTGATTGTTTGCAGTAGATGATGCCTCTGGTCCTGTATCAGTGTTTCTTTAGGAGTAGTGTGTTAGTATGTTGCTCCTCCTGTTGCAAGGGCAGAAAGAAATTGTAAGTCTTAAAATGTTGTTTAGACCTGAAATTCAAAATCTGCTTCCATTTAGTTTCATGGTATTTTGCCTATTGGGTGCTTGACAGCTGTTATCTATATTCTAATTAAAATAAGATGACCTAATGTTGCCATCCATAGGTTCTATAGCAATCCTTTTTGTGATTTGTTTTTACACTAAATGTCTTTGTGTACACAGGTTTTCCTTCATTTGAATTTTCTATCAGAGTGCTGCTAATTATGAAAGGCAATATACCTGTTTAAATATCACAGAGCTATTTTAAATAGATTTCTATGTCCAAGTGTCTTCCATGGATAACTGTGCTACTTGACAAGAAGTTTGGCAGCATCTCTTGTCCAGCTTTGGTGTATCAGGGTTGATTTAGCATGTAAAAACACAGCCAATCTGCTGTTCGAAGTTTAGCATGATTCTTAGTATCTTCTTGTTTCAAATACAAATTATATGGAAGTACTTCCATACAATTCAAAGAATTCATTATATAGATACAAAAGTTTCAAAGTGTACTTAAGAGTGCTATCAAAATAAATGCTGTCCATAAGCATAAGCTCGTAGCTGTGGTAAGTATAAAAAGTATCTAAACTAGGTATGGAGAATACCACTTCCTGCCTTCTGCTAGTTGTTTTTGTTATAAAAATACTGGGTATGCTGGCAGGAGTCTCGTACAAAGAGGCAGAATCCTGCTTTTCCACTATGTGGCACTTATTGTCATCCCTGCTGCATCCTGATGTTCTCCATGAGAAAAAATATGTATGTATGCTGTGACATTCACACTGAGAATTTCTCGCAGGATTGCTGATAGATACGTGGCTTATTTGTCATGCCAGCTAGCCAGCACAATGGCTGGATTCTGAAAATACCTATTCTTTGTTCAGTGATCCATTGCCCAGGCAAGGTACCTTTATAGAGCTCACTTTTTTCTTTGTCTCCTTCTTCACTGTTGCAGTTTACAGAGCTGAGTTGCATGTGTGTAGTGCTGTGTTGTTGTTCTATATGGCAGTCTCTGATTAGAGTAATTATCAGCTACCTACATTGCAATGGTCACAGTTTGTAAATGAAAGTTCCTTTTGGAAAAACAAACCCCATAACGTCTTTATTTGCAGTATTATCAGAGACATCAAAATTGCCAGAAACAACAGTAAAGCTACAGACAATAAAGTTCTACAAGATCACTAAAAGGAGAAGTCTATTTTCATGCATGTGTGTTGATTGCTAGAGACAGAATCATTCTTTATCATATTCTATTTGATTTTACAATAATTACAGAAAGTGAAGTTTTAAATTTGTAGTAGGCCTTCATGATATATTGATGTTAGTCCAAGCTGTTGATCAATCACATTCATCACATTTGCCACCTTTTATGGATGCGTTGCTTGCTTTGATTTTTACTTGGGACTTTTGCTCTAAAGGGTAATTAAAACATGAGTTCAACTTGATTTTTTCCAAGATCATGATGTATGTGATCAGCTAAACTCTCTAAAATGGTTTTGGATGGTATCATAGAACTGAACTGGAACATTTTAAAGTAGGCTGGTAGAACTATCTTTCTGATCTGGTCTTATAGAAACCTGAATTTACTGAGTCCTCTTGTCTTTCCGTTAACGACTTGTACATTTTTTTCCCAGCTGGTCTGAACAGTAGCTTCAAACTCATTTTCAGGTTTTTTGTTTCTTGCTTCTACGCTTAAATATCGCCTTCAAGTATTGCAGTTTTTTCCTACACTGTTTCTTAGTCTGTCGCGGTTTAGGCCCAGAGGGCAAGTTTGCACCGTGCAGCTGCTCACTCACTCCTTCCCCTATCAGATGGGAAGGAGAATATGGAGCAGGAATGGCTCAAAAAATCCATCTAAGAACCAGGAGTAGCAGCTCACCCATTATGGTCACAGGCAAAAGAGTCTAGGGGGAAAAAAAGAAAACATCACTTTAATTCAAATGCTAACAAAGACAAAATTTAACAGCCAAGGTGGGACAGTGAGAAGCCCCACCACATCCAAAACCACCTCCTCCCACCGCTCCCTTCTCCCAGGGCTCAGCTCTGCTCCCGATCTCTCCCCCTCCTCCCCCGTGGGGCAGGGGCAGGGGATGGGGGTCACAGCCAGCTCGCCGCTCCTTCCCCTTTGGGAGGTGGGGTGAGCGCCGCACATCCCTCCCCGGCTCCCCGGGGCTCCCCTCTCACCGCAGACCCGCAGTCCTCCACGAACCTGCTCCAGTGTGAGTCCCCCCCACGGGCCGCAGCCGCTCCGCCGTGGGTCCCCCCCGCGTGTTGCAGTCCTCCCAGCGCCGAACCGCAGCAGCGGGGCCGCTCCTCCCCTCCGGGCCCGGCCTGTTTTAAGTGCAGAGGCCTGTCCTCTGGTGGCTTTCTGTTCAGGCCTCAGGTTAGTCTCTGCTCCACCACCGGGCTCCACGGGTGGCAGGGGGGCGGCCCTGCCGCCTCACTAGGGGACAGAGGGGTCTCTGCTCCGGTGCGTCTCCCCCACGTCCTTCTCCTTCCTTCCACTTACCTCAGCATTTGTCCTCCTCCCGACTCCTCACATGTCCCAGCTGCCTCCTACATCCCTGAAATATGTTATCACAGAGGCGCAGCTGATTGTTTTGGCCTTGGTGCAGAGGCGGGTCCGACTTGGAGCCCCGGGGGAGCTTCGAGAAGCTTCTCACAGGGGGCTGCTACTGTAACCCCCTCCCCTGCTACCAAAAAAAAAAAAAAAAAAAAACCAAACAAAAAAAACCAGCTCCACAGAAACCCATCACAAGTCTTACAGTTAAAAATGTGATGGCCTTTACTGTCATATTCCTTCTTGTCACTGTTGTATGTTCCTTCCAGGTCTCTGTTCCCTTTTTGCTATTTGTGTCTTGTTCACTTCTTCCACTGCTATTTGTCCTCTCTTAATGTTTTACATACTGTTCATCTCAGCCATCTAAAAGTGCTGCTGGTCTTGCCTGAGAGTAAATTGGTGAGTGTAGGTGTATTACAACATACCTTTTGACTGCTGGATCAGGCAGGTGGATGTATTCCACCTGTGAGTAAAAGGAACTGGAAAAATACTGTTTTGAAGTTAGACTTAAGGTCTTGATTGTCCTACTGCTTTGTATCAGTTGAGCAGACTTCCTTTCAGTCATCTCCACAGGTCCCAAACACTTCAAGTGTTTGCCGAGAAGCCCAAGTGTAGGGACACTTGGGGGACATCCTGTTGAGCAGGATGGGTTAGGAAACTATACATGGACTATGCATATCAAGGAATGTCAGCATACAGTAAATAACTGTCTTTTCCAAGCTAAGAGCATTTGAAGAATCCCTGGATCTATAAATGTTTTATGAATATATATATTCTGTGTTGAAGAGCTGGGTTACTGGGTATTTCCTAGCTATATAAAAGTAGGCTGATTCCTGTTGGGGCTAAGAACCTTTGCAAGGAGGGCACTGAGGTTTCCATGAAAACCTTTTAGTCATATGTCATTGGTTATGCTATCTATAATGTAACAAAAGTTTGAAGTATGATAATTAATTGCAACTATCACGCTTCTTTTCTTAGGATACAATCACATGGACGTGGCAAGGGCCAGGAGCGTAAGTGGTTTATGTTTTATTGCTTTTATCACGATCGCTTTCTTTCGTTGTTTTTATTTGTGTCTTACAGGCGTATATACTTAAGTAGTAATTGCTGGTTATTGGATTATTCTTTGGGATAAATTTGTGTCTTTTACCTGTTGTTCCCTTAATTATTATAATCAGTTAGAGGATTCCAGGTATAAACAGTGTAATTCTGCTGCTATGATTTTGCTGGTTTGCAGAATGGATTTTAGGTTTTTATTTCAAATTTTTTTTTTTAGTTAGGTTTTGAAGTAAAACAACTTGTTTCTGCTCTATGTATTTTATTGCCTGCAAATCGATTTGGTGTGTTTCTGTATGAAATCTGCATGGCTATTGTTTGAAATTGGTCTAGTCCCATGGAAGCAGTCAACCCACTCAGGGAATTTGGAGATACAATTTCCATTATCTTGCCTGAATAACTTAAATTTTTTAATTTATTTTTTAAACAAAATGTTTTTCTAGAGGTTCCTTGGCAAATTCATGTAATGTAAAATACTAAATGAAGCAATTCTTACTTGTTTTTTAAAAAAATATATTTTTAGTCTTTTTCCTTCTCGGGTTGGAGTAAAAATTCTGAAATGTTTAGATGAAGATCTAAACAAGAAATTTTGAACACTAAGTAAAGGGGAGTTGGATTCTATCATTAATGGCTTGCCACTAATCTCTTCCTTGGGAGCTATTGTTTTGAACGTCCCACCTGAAATCCTATATTTTAGTAGTAACCCAGAAACCATTGGGATTTGCCAAGATTCAAGTAAGTTATAATTTTGTCAATTAATTTTGCACCTTGAAATGGACTGGGAACCAGGTCTAATTAAGGACACATCTAATTTGGAGACCTGAGGAAATCATTGATCACTTTTAAAGGTTCAGTTAAATCATCATGTTGGAAGTAGATCGATTCATGGTAATGTCTAACGTAGGTGCTGCAGCATTTACTGCATGCAGGGATTTCTCCTCTCTCCTTGTGAGTTCCTACCTCTTCCTTTGCATTTGCACTGCAGTTCATCTAGCAAATTAACTCAGCCCGAGGGGAGAAAGGTGAGTAGCTTACTTCTAGCTTAGTGTCCTACCTGAAGAGTCAAAAATACATAGGAGGAGGAGGAAGAGGGAAGAAACTTGTAGGTGTGTTGCCTTAGATCACTTTAATGTGTACAGAACATACATGGAAGTTCTGACCTCTTCTAATAAAGTTAAATTAAAGCTGAATCAGAATCTGAGGCAGCATGTGATGTTTTGCAAATTCACTGGGTCGGTTTAAATTACAGCTTTGCTTAATTAGGATTAATTCTCCTGAGTGACCTAAAATGTATGTCTGATGTCTTAGCAGAAAATACTGTTAGGACTGATACAGTCTTCACTTTCTCAACAAATGTCTCTCTGACATGGTGTTAACCCAGACTTAATCTGGAAGTGTCATGTATCCAGGAGTATTCTGTTTGGTCAAAGGTATTGTGGCCTCTAAAATGGACTGAAAACTTGTCACATGGAAATTATACGCTTTCTTCCACTTATGGAAAGTAATGTTTTTAATAGTTTGACAGTATTCAGAGCAGATCAGCTGACTGTACCTTGAAAACAGAAGTTGACTATAGCATAAAACTTAAATTTTCTCTACATTGGGCTTCAGTTAGATACCATGTTCTATCCATTTTTTAAACTGGTATTTCTAAATTAAGGTTTAATCTTTGAGGATTACAAAGAGTTGTCAGAGAGAAGAGTTTACGTGTAATTTACTGGAGTTTTTTAATGCCCTTGGACAAGGACCTAGAAACCAGACTTTTGCGTTTCCTGACAGTGACGTAAACTTCAAATCACAAGTTCCACTGTTATTCTTGCTCCTTTTCTTTGCTTCAATGTGTTGGAAGTTCAGTAGGAAAGAAGGGAGAAAAAAGTGTTTCAGCCCTGACTGTGTAGCAAAATGAGTAGGGTGTTGCTTCTAGGAACTGCACTTTATCTGGCTAAGAGGATTTTGACCAGCCCTCCCTTCACAGTGATTGACTGCTGTAACTACCTGGATACTGTACAAAATGTGGCTATTGCCTCTGCTCCCTAATTTATGTTTACTAAATCCTTTCCTGGATTTGAATCTTACTGGAATGAACTTGACCTTAGAAAGCAGTATCTTGTGTCTTAGGCTACTAAAACACGTGTACTGCATTTCATTAACAGACTTCTGAAGTGTAATGAACTTTGGTTCCAAACCAAGACAACGATAAAATCTTAGTAGTTATAATTAATCTTGCCAAGTCTATGCTGAATACAGCATTTTCGCGAAACGGACTTATTCTTTCTTTGCACACTATGCATACATAATATCTTACTGTATGCATTAGTACCTGTATATCATATTACTGCTTGTCTTCCTGCTTTTGGGTATCTTTTAGGATGCAAGTTCAGTGTAAATTGCTTTTGTTCCACCATACAGAATGTAATGTGTAGAAGTACTTAGACCTTTTCTGTTAATCTTGTATCTGAATATGATAATACATATAGTAGGAATGTTACTTGAAGACTTTGGAGCATAATGTACTACTGTTTCACTACATGTAAATTTTTTCCTCCATACTTTTCCTTTTTTTTTCCCCTTTTAGGTTAGAAATTCTGTGGCTTACTTTGTGTCAGTTTCACAATTCGGTGGAAATTGAGGTCAGTAGAAAAAAAAAAAAACCCTAGTGTATTCTGAGCAGTATCAGAATAATATATTGTACGTAATTCTGCAGTAAAAGTTTGTATTCAAACTTCGTATGTCAACACAGTCTGTAAAAACAGGTTAAAATATCACTTATATTTTAGGCAAATGTCTTATGGATCTGAAAATGTAATCTAAAAATAGAACAACAAAGTATAGTTTTCCACTTGGCTTAAGACTTTAATTTCTTGTGCATTTAAATTGAGTAGATAGATTTCTGACTGTTTAAAGAGTCTTTTGTGAACAAATTTATTGTCTTTTAATTGCCTGATTGCTATTCCAGCTAGTATACCAAGTCTGTGTGTTAGATACCCAAGTGTGTGAACGCTGATGTACAAGCTAAGGACTTTCTTCTAGAGAAAAATCATTGTAAGTGGTTTCTTATAGGTCAGATAGGTTCTTTAATATGTCTGGCTAATTTTTTTATTAGCCTGCACTGTTCAGAATGTGAAATTGGAAAACATAAAATTTAAGTTTATATATATTCTTAACTTTGTTTTCAGGAAAACACTATGTGATCCTAAGGCTGAAGGATATTGTAGCGAAAATGCAAAAACAATTAAATCCTTTCCTTTTAAATTGCTGTCCTTAAGCATTTTACAGAGCGTAATTACATTTTTGTGGAGAAGCATGGTGTTTTCATAGAATGGTTTGAGATTGAAGGGACCTTAAAGATCATCTAGTTCCAACCCGACTGCCATGGACTGGGACACCTTTCACAGGATCATGTTTTAAAGGTGTTATATGATATTTGTCAGATGTTCTGCAGTTCTTTTGCTTAAATTTTTTAATAATGAGGTAGCTACTTATCTCTTACTGATAGCAAGGTAAGCTAATAGGAAGAACTATTACATATTTGCATACACATACGTTATTATTGTAACATATATGCTTATCACAGTAGTTATCATTGCTGTGCTCTGTATTTACTTATTTATGCTATAAATTCTTCTCAGAAGCAATAAATGCACGAAATACCAGTCACTGAACAATTCTATTTTGTAGAAATTTGTGGTTAGTGTTACCACTTTAGTTGTATGTTTTCAGCTATTAATAGTATATATATTAAAAAAAAAAAAAATATCAAAAATCTCATTTCCAAAACAGTGACATGTTTTTGTTAGAAGGGCCAGGGAGAAACTACCTCATGCAGGGACAAGACAAACCAGCTGATTGGCAGGATTTTTACTCTATCTCAGGAACATGGTTTTCTGCCCTAGGCAAGTAAAGTGGGTTCTTTCACACAGAAGTGAATACTGCTGAGCTTTCTTGAGTTTTCAGGCAGTAGCTGCTAGCAGATGCTGAGTTTCTGTAGCACATACAGAACTTGCACAAGGACAAGTTATGCTCTTTGGCCTTTTTCAAAAGGCCAAAGAAAATCTAGTGACTTTGTGAAATATGCTGTACTGAAGCAGGATCTGGCAGAGGGTAGATGAGCAGAGCTGTCTGCAAGGCTGCTTGCAAGTATGAGGCAGAGTACTTGAGAGCTGCTTTTTGAATCTATTCTTGCAAGGAGGTGCTGCAGATGTAGGATGTAGGGGAAAAATTAGTTGTTCTGTGTTCAAAGTCATGGTTTTTCCTTTGTCTCCAAAGTTTATTGGCTTTTATTCCTGCTTTGTTCTGTCAGCACAGAGGTACTGGCAAATACCAACCAGCCTTTATACAAGAATTACTGCTGAAGATCCAATAACTCAGGGGATGTGCAGCAAAACAACACAACTTCAGTATGTTTTTGATTATAAATGATAGCTCATAAGGCCTAGCAGTCAGCAATCAGGATCTAAAGTTTGTTAGCCTGAGCTTCTCTGCATATAATGTATGTTCTGGCATACTACATATGTCATGTATATTGAGAAGCAAGCATCTATGTAGATTTTATAATAGGTTACTAAAAATGCCGGCCCATTCATCCTGTACTTGGAGCTGACATGCAAGCATCCTTGTGAAGAAGAAAGGGTATGTGACCACCTACACATTGAGTTTGTTCTGGCTCGTGTCAGCTTGTTTTGCTGGCCCGTCAGCTTCAGTTTTCATATGGCTATCACAGTCAGCAGTGGCTGAGAATTCTTCTCTTGATTTTGTTAGTGGTGCTGAAATGATTGTGCTATTTCTATGCAGTTAGGCACAGACACGTAGAACACCTCTGAAATCACCTCACATTCAAACTTGTCCTGTGTTTGGATGGATGACTTAATAGCAATTTGCAACTGAAAAACAGAATTGGGCTTGGAACTTGAAGGAACAATTTTTCCATCTCTGTTAGCTTCACAGTCTTCGTCCTTTTGTATATTATATCACATCAGGCTGGCACACCTGCTTGTAAATCTAGAAGATGGGAGTCATATGTGTTCAGTTGAAGTGGTGCATATAGGGAAAACTGTAGCAAAACCCAGAATAAATATAAGATTTGTCCATAACTGAGTACCTATAAGAAACAGCTAGACAAACATCTAATGTCAGCGTTTTGAGTACTGCTGATCATAGCATTATGCAATTCTGAAAATACAGCTAACTTCATAGTTACTGAGAAGTATTTGCTTAAATGATAAACTTTATTGCCCAATTGTTGTTTTCTTTTTTTTAAAGACTAGTGAGAAATTTCTGGATCACAGTTTGCATCTTACACTACCCATAGCTAATTATGTGAAATATAGCTACTTTTAATACAACTTTGGTTTCTGCTTCAGAAGCTTTCCACAGGATTATGAACATTTTGTTCATTTAGTGCATAAATTATCTCATTGTGTTGCACAACTAAAGGAATTGTATTGTCTGGTCCTGAGCAGGGGTGGGAATCAGAGTGATCCCTTCTTGTTCCTTCTGAGCACAGTTACTTGGCAGAAATGAGATGTTTTGAGGGTTTTTATAGATGAGACTGGCCATGATCCTGGGGCTTACATCATGTTTCAACAAACATTTAAAAACATACCCAAGAGCTGAAAGGCCTTTTAGTATAGGCCATCCTATTCTGAAAGCTGCCTTTTTTGTTGCAGGTCTCCAGCAGTTCTGGTGTAATTTTCCCTTTCCAACCTCAACTATTCTGTGATTCTGTGACCACCTGCACTTATTTAGATTTTTTTTTTCAATTGAATATTAATAACTAGTGCCCCATTTGAAGGAGAAATTTTTCAAAACCTCCATCAGCAGAACATAAAAACACTTCTGATGTGTACATTAAGCAGTCATATATGATTTCAAAATGTGCAGGAGGTACAGTAAATACCTGATGTCCTGAGCATTTGAAATTCTTACTATTTAAGGTATAGAACAATGTTCATGTAGCAGATGCTGTTCTTGGTTATCTGGAAAGAGCTGAACAATGCAGAATGTGAGAGAAAACTTTGTGCAAGAAAATGCTAGTACTTTTATTTAAAAATTCCTGGTCCCACTTACGAAAGGAGGATAAAACTCTACTTGGGTTCTATGAGGTAAGAAATGAGCAGAGTCACTGCTACATGAATTACTAGAAGAATGATGCATCCTTAAGCATTTAAGTGTTCAATTTTAATTTTTTTTAGTCCTTTTGTTAATATAATTTTGTAGGTAGTAAAAAACTGTATACATTTTTCACTATAGTGCTATAACAGAGATTGTTTAAAATGTTCAATATTCTTGGTATAATTCAGTTCTCTGTATGCAGTTTCTACCTGTGTATATTCCTTCAGAAGAAGAAAGAAAAAATCCAGTGTTATATGCCAATAACGTCAGACGTGTAATGGCAGAGTAAGTATGTTGTAATATGGAATAAAAATAGATGTATGGTTTTAATTTTAGGATCAAGAAAATTTAATGAAATCAATTCAATATAGTTGGCTGTTTGCAAAGAAGCTTGTAGTCTGCAGTGGTATATACAAAACCTTTTATGTAGCAGTTGCCTTCCTCTCTGAGGAGTCCGGGGAGCCACAAATACAGCAGGAACTGTAGGAGTTTGGTTGTGTTTTTTTTAACATGTCTTCATATAACAAGGCAGTTCTGCTTGCTGCTGTGGGTATTTGTTCTTCTGAGGAGAAAAGTACAGATGAATTTTTTGAAAGTTAATGTATCTGAATTTTGTGCTGTTGAGGTTGGATTTTAAGCTATGATGTTTTAATGAAGTTGAGAATAGTTTCACGTATTCATTGTTAGCCTCTGGTTATTTCAAGTAGTAAAGCACAGGAAAGTTGCTTCTGTTGGAAATAGAGCACTGATACAATGCAAACTAATTGATGTTGAACGTTAATGTGACAACACTTACAACACTTGTCTAGTGTATAATAAAGCCAACACTGAATATGCAGACCTTTATCCTCTTCTGTTGTATTTTTGCTTCACTGCTCTTGTTCATTCATTTGTGTCCTTTCAGCAAATCTACCATTAGTCAGTAGATGTTCTCCATATTTACAGAGAACCCTCAGGTCTATGTTCATTAACTCTTGAAGGATTTATGAATCTTTCTAATCCTGATTTTGAAAGATTTTATGAAATCTTAATTTCTTTTGTGTAACTTCTTTTCTGTTCCTAAGTTACCAGTTTCAGCCAAAGGTCAGTTTGTAGATAGAAACTGGTAAGTAATTCTTCTCTGGTTTATAAGCAGAACCCAGCTCTGTGAGTTTCCTTATGGATGCTGAGCCTATAACATAACAGTAGGACTTTTGAAAGGACTTTTCTCGCAAAGGGAAAACCAAAAGAATCTGTGTGTATCAACCGGTCTTAGAGTTGCAGTGGCCTCAAAGTTTTGTAGTTCACTTAAGATGATCAGCTGGCACTACATAAGTGTTGTCCTCAGACTTTGGGTAGAAGACCATGTTATTTATTAGACCTTCATTCTGAATTCTACTCCAGTCAGATGACAGAGATTGTATGGTATAAGGAGAAATTTTGAAAGCCCACAGAAGTTTACACCAAGCTGCATGTTGAAAGCTTTCCCTTCTATGTGTGCACAGGAGGAGAGACATGATTTTCATTGTTCTTTTGTTTCTTCCTCCCATCTCTGAAGAATTAGGCATTTGGGGTAACAGAAGTGGGATGCAGGTCCAAAGGGAAGACTGTCAAAATGGGGGACAGCAAATATGGTTTGCTTTGAGATGAAGAAGGGACTGTAGGTGTTTTGTTGATGTGAAAGGAAAATAAATATGGTTGGATATCAAAGTGCTGAAGTTAACACGCAGACAGGAATGGAACAGAGTGCTGACCCCTGCATACTGTGGATTACTGTAGACCAATTAAAATAACATCAACATAGCCAAAATTTATTTACTTCTGACCACTTCCAGATGCTTACTTCTAGTTGCAGTTCTCTAGACTCTCCTAGTTCATTCATGTGGCTTTTGGTACAGGAGATGCCAGCTCAGCTGCTGTCAGTCTGTTCTGGAGCTGGAGCGGTTGCAGCTAGCACCTCAGGTGCTATTTGGTTCTTGTGTTGCTGAGTAAAAGACAGTATTACTGCTTCATCTAGATTTGTCTCCTTTTCTTGAAGATGGAATTGGTAGCAGTGTACCATTTTGATGTCAAGAGGTCACTTCAGGATCTGTTTAGATGTCTGCTTTTCCCTTCCTCACCATCACATTTTTCTGGAAGAAGAGTAATTCTACTGGATGTTTTATTTACAGCAGAAGCTGTGGCAGTCCCAGATAATAATGTATTTGTGAGTCAGAACCAGTGTTGTTGCAAAACCTTGTGTCTTACCCCTGATTTCAAAGGGAGTTGATAGAACTTGCCAAGTGCAACAATATATATGATTTCCACTCCTGAAACCTGTTCGCCTTCATCATAATCTTGTCACATGAACAGCTTTCTAGTAATTGTTGAACCAAGTACTTGACAGGATGTCTGATTCTTACCTTGCTTCTGCTTCTTGACTTATGGAGAACTTTTGGTTTAGCCCTATTTGTTTAGCTTTTCTGTGGGCAGCCACAAATGTGAGTGATGGAGGTCTTTAAATTGTTCCTGTTCACTTACATACAAGTTGAATATTTAATGAAGGAGATGCTGTCATTTACAGAGGTTTGCTTCCTGAGGACATTAGTTCTTTGCAGGATGGATTAATTTACTTGCCCAAAAAGTGAAATCTAAAGTGAGCCTTGCTTTTGGCTCTCTGTTTCAGGTCAGGAACTTAAAGCATAACTGTTCTCCTGTGCTTCAGGTTTCCTCAGGCAGCCGTACCAATAACAAAGGAAATGCCATTTTTTAAATGTTGTAGCGCTCTTTAGGTCTTCATTGTATTCCTTCTCATCCAGTATGACAAGGATTGTATACTTTTGAAAATGCATTCAGGTGTTAACCCACCATTTGTATCATTCATCTTTTCTGTTGCCATATACCATCCATTGGAATATTAACACACTGGTTTGTTTTTCCTGGGGTATTGTGCTGGTTTTGGCTGGAATAGAGTTTATTTTCTTCACAGTAGCCAGTATGGGGCTGTGCTCTGGATTTGTGCTGGAAGCAGCGTTGATAACACAGCAAGGGATGCTCTGGTTGCTGCCGAGCAGCGCTCACCCAGCGCCAAGGCCTTTTCTGCTCCTCACCCCACCCCCCCAGCGAGCGGGCTGGGGGGCACAGGGAGTTGGGAGGGGACACAGCCGGGACAGCTGACCCCCCCGACCCCAGGGATGTCCCACACCGTACGGCGTCATGCTCAGCACCTACAGCTGGGGGAAGGAGGAGGAGGAAGGGGGGGACGTTCGGAGGGATGGCGTTTCCCTTCCCCAGTCACCGTTACGCGGGATGGAGCCCGGCTGTCCTGGGGAGGGCTGAGCCCCTGCCTGACCATGGGGACTGGGGGGTGAATCCCGTGTTTTGCTTTGCCTGTGTGCCCGGCTTTTGCTTTCCCTATGAAACTGTCTTTATATCAACCCATGAGTTTTCTTGCTTTTACTCTTCTGATTCTCTCCCCCATCCCAGTGTGAGGGGAGTGAGCAAGCGGCTGGGCAGTGCTCAGCTGCCAGCTGGGGTTAAACCACGAGGACCGTGTTGGGGATGATCATCATGTTGATGTGAATGTTGTGGCCAGAAGTTACTCAGTCTGGATTACTATTCTGCAATCACCCTTTCCTGCTGATTTTCAGGACCTCGTTTCACAAGACTCTTTCTAAACTAAACCTAATTTACTTTTTAATTTATAATGTAAACCTAATTTACTTTTTAATTTTAAATGTAATACAAGCTGATCTCTTGATGGGTAGTGTTTCAATATTTGTGCACTAACCTGTCGCCAAATTCCACAAGAACCCAGGTGATAAATTTCCATTTTTTTTATAGGACACTGTCATGGTAGAAAATGAATTTAAGGCTCACAACTTCTACAGACCTTTCCGTTGCATCTGTGGCTATTTGTTTCCTGCAATGCTAACCTGTAGTGATATCTTTCATCAGGAGGATGAGCAAGATCCAAGCTGTAATGGCTGATCGCTTTACAACATCTTTAAAAATCCAAAGTTTTTTTTCGAAAAGGGTTTCTTAATCTCACCTCTGCAGTTACCGGTATTTTAATGTCTGTGATCTTCAACCTTTTTTCTCATTGACAGATACTTATTCAGTAGCATTGAGCCAAAATCTAGGATTGTGTGCTGTCTTGTTACAGCCACTCAGCTCACTGTTTCTTCTGTTATCTGTGTAATCAGAACTGGAATTACTCATTCAGGATAGCCACTGCTGCTGACTTAGTTACTCTGTGCTTGTCTTCCTTTGGATCATTTTCTTACTCTGCACAAAAGGTACGTGCAGATTAGACTAATCTGCTGTTTAAAGTATGGTCCCCTACTTATTCCTTATCAATATGCTTTGCGTTTGATTTTTCTCATATAACCTACTGTGAGTGAGTCTATCTCTTGGTCTTTCTGGCCTTGTTCTGACTGCTACTCTGAGTTGATGTTCATCTCATCCACAACGTGCTATCAGGAAGTGTGTTTAGGGTCACTTTCAAATTGCTGGAAATGTTGAGTGCTTTTGAATATGGCAACAGTCCATGCATGTTCTCTCTTTAAAATAAATAAATAAAATTTGATTAGATATTGATTTTTAATTTACTTTGCATGTTCTTTATTGCTCTAATACAGTTCTGAAACCACCATGCTAGTAAGTCATGCCATGTAGATACATACTATATTGGCTCACTTTTGTAAGTATTACTTACAATTGTAAAGTTGTCATTTTGATTTTCATGTGCATGAACAATTATCACCTTACATTATTGGTAGTCAGCGTGTGTTATTGTGATATGTTAATTTATTAATTTCAGCACTTAGTGTTTCTTCTATATGTTTTCTAGTTGAGTTTGGTTTTTTTTCCAGCCTATATTGTTACTTTTTATCAAAATATTAGCTCATCATTTACTGGAACTACAGTAGTGTTGTAAAATTGTCAGTGTGTAGACCTCAGACTTCAATCCCAGCTCTTCTAGAATTACTAGGAACAAATCATCTGACCTTGTCATCATAAACCTTTATTTCTAAAAATTTCTCAGTGATAAAGGAAACACCTCTACCACTGTTAAAGCAGTGGAAAGTACTTCATTTTATTCATGAAATATGTCATCTTAATTGTTTCCTAATGTGAAGTATTGCATATGACAGCTGCTTTTGCCTCTTGGCAATTTTACTATCCTCAGGTAGTAACAAGTTATATTACTGTTTATATTTTTTTCTTAGGCTTTAAAAACAGTCTTATGCTTCTTAGCTGCATCAATTGCACCTTTTTCTCTGTCCTTACCTTTCCGTATTGTTTTTATACATCAGAGTTTCTAA